TACACTTCCCTTCGGAAGAGTGGTTCCTGTTTCAATTGTTTGGAACGGGGCCATATAACAGGAAAGTGCAAATCAGAACATTCATGTAAACGGTGCGGAAAACGACATCATACGTCCCTACATCCAGCTGATTCTGAGTCTGTGGAACCCTCACCGCAGCAGATAAGTGGTGTTCCTAGGCTAGATAGCTCGACGGCGAATGCGGCTAGCACATCTTCGGTGCCAGTCAACAACGGATCAGTTCTTTGCTCAAACGTAGACGCTGATCAAGATACGCTGCTGGCAACAGCACTTGCTTTGATTCGCGGAACGGGAAAGCAAGTTATGCAGTGCAGAGCAGTGCTAGATTCTGCTTCGCATAAGCACTTTATCACGGAAGGATTGGTTTCGAAACTCGGATTGAAACAGAAGCGAGCTAACTACACGATTCTTGGGATTGGTGGTAATCAGATGGCCATTCAGTTCAAGGTACACGCAAGAATCAAATCAAAAGTAAGTGAATATGAGTCACCATTTTTGGAGTTCCTGGTGGTCAAAAAGATTACGGGCGAGCTTCCGATGCAGCGCTTCGAGGTAACCCAGTTGAAGATTCCAGAAAAAATCGAGCTTGCCGATCCCGGATTCAACGTTCCCGGTCAGATAGACGTTCTGATTGGATCTGGTCTTTTCTTCAAGTTGATCAAGCACGGTCAGTTAAACTTGGCTGATAACTTGCCAGCAGTGCAGGAGACATCCCTTGGTTGGATTGTGAGTGGTCTGATTCCAACTAACCAACTGGGCGTTGGTGGTTCGCTATGTACGATGGTAACTGAGGATAATATCGGTAAGTTACTTGAACGTTTTTGGCATTTCGATTCCTATGACGAAACGACGGTTCGAGAGCATTCTTCAGAAGATGCTTGCGTCGCTCATTTTCTCGAGACATACCGACGAGATGACCACGGAAGATTTTTCGTTCGGCTGCCATTCAACGAGGCGAAGGAGCAGTTGGGCGATTCTGAAAGCATGGCCAGGAAAAGATTTTTGGCTGTCGAACGAAGACTGGATAAGGATCCGAACCTGAAAGAGCAATACGTTGCTTTTATGAGCGAATATGAAGAAATGGGTCACATGGTTGAAATTACGCCCTCATCGACCGAAGATTCGACTGAAGCTTTCTACGTTCCCCATCATTGTGTTTTGAAGCCAACTAGTACCACAACTAAACTGCGGGTGGTATTTGATGGTTCAGCGGAATCGTCTTCCGGAGTGTCTATCAACCAAACTCAAATGGTTGGTCCGACAGTACAGAACGATTTGGTCTCCATTCACCTGAAATTTCGAACGTTTCAGTACGCTGTGAGTGCAGATGTCCCGAAAATGTACAGGCAGGTTTGGATGGACGAAGATTTTCTGCGAATTTTTTGGAGAATTAACCGTGATAAACCTCTGAAAGTCTATACGTTGAAGACAGTGACGTATGGGCTTGCATCTTCACCGTTCTTGGCTACGATGGCACTGAGGCAACTTGCTAATGAAGAAGAAGAGCGTTTCCCCCTTGCAGCGGCGGCTGTGAAAAAATCTTTCTACATCGATGATATGCTTGCTGGTGCGAATACGCTCGAGGAAGCTATGGAGCTACTGAGGCAGATTACCAGCATGCTGCACGACGGTGGGTTCGGCATACACAAGGTGTGTTCGAATTCGAAGGAACTGTTGGAAATGGTTCCCGAAGAAAGGCGTGAAAAATTGGTGACGATTGATGATGCGACTGTCAATTGTCTGATGAAAACTCTTGGAATCGTGTGGGACCCAAGTAGTGATTTATTCACTTTCCATATTCCGGAGTCATCAACGTCGGTGCAGCTGACAAAGCGGGTAATTTTGAGCGAGATTTCCAAGATCTTTGACCCGCTGGGTTTCCTTGGACCAGTGCTTACTGCGGCAAAGCTGATTATGAGAGAGCTGTGGCTTCTTGAATTTCATTGGGACGACATCCTACCGCAAGAATTGGTGGTGCTCTGGACGGAATTTCGGATCAATTTGCAGAAGTTGAACGGATTGGAGATTCCACGTTACGTGCTGACGCAAGGTTGTATTGCTGTAGAATTACACGGATTTTCCGACGCATCCGATCTTGCATACGGGGCTTGTCTCTACACACGATCGGTGTTCAATGACGGTAGAGCTGAAATGAAATTGATATGCAGTAAATCGAGAATCTTGCCGAAGAAAAAAGGAACACAAAAAGAAGTTACGACACCGCGAGGAGAATTACAGGCAGCTCTTCTGCTATCTCGTCTCACTGTGAAGTTGATAGATGCCATGGAAATAAACTTTTCATCCGTGGTTTTGTGGAGCGACTCCCAGATAACGCTTTGTTGGATCAAGAAATCTCCAGAAACGCTGAAGATTTTCGTTGGAAACCGGGTGAAGGAAATCCAATTGCTGACGAACGGATATGATTGGCGATACATTCCGTCGAAATCGAACCCGGCAGACCTGATTTCAAGAGGTGTCCAACCGAACCAATTGCAGAGTCAAGAAATTTGGTGGACAGGGCCAGAATTCTTGAAGCAGGTAAAGTTCAAAATCGACACTCCTCCTCCGGTTCCGGAAGAGATTATCCCGGAAGTGCGGGGAATCGTTCTTCTCAACTTGACTATCTGCATCAGACTGAAAATATTTGACAATATCAGTCGATTTTCGATTATGCAACGAGCCATGGCCTACGTTATTCGTTTTACGGATTTCATCAGAAGTGGAAGAAGGCAACTTACCAAAGGGTTGTTGACAGCGGATGAGATGAAACGTGCAGTGCTGCTAATTGTGCGTTTAGTTCAACGGGAAGGTTTCGAAAAGGAAATAAGAGCGTTGACGGAGGAAAAGGACTTCAAGTACCCGTTGAAATGCTTGAACCCTTTCATCGATGAGAAGGATGACATACTTCGAGTGGGAGGACGGATTAGAAACGCTCAGATTCCTTACGGCAGTAAACATCAGTTACTTCTGCCTGCAAACCATCCAGTGACGATTGCCATTGTCCGATATCTCCATAAGAGCAACATGCATATTGGTCAGCGTGCATTGCTTGCTGTTGTGAGGCAACAATATTGGCCTCTTAGAGCCAAGACTGTTATTCGAAACGTGATCCATAAGTGCACACCTTGCTATCGAGCAAACCCGAAGAGAGCGACGCAGTTGATGGGAGATTTGCCAGAATACAGAGTACAAGCAACGTATCCATTCGCCAACGTCGGAGTGGATTTCGCCGGTCCGTTCACACTGAAGGCTGCGGTTTCTGTTAGGAAAGGTGTGATGACCAAAGGGTACGTGTGCGTCTTTGTGTGTATGGCTACGCGGGCTATACATTTGGAAGCAGTTTCAAGTCTTTCAACCGATGCGTTCTTGGCAGCGCTTCAACGCTTTGTGAGCAGAAGGGGTCTACCGTCAAAGATTATCTCAGATAATGGCACCAACTTCGTTGGTGCAAATAACGAACTTGCGAAGCTTGCCAAGCTGTTCGAAACGGAAATGCATCAGAAGAGGCTGAATGAATTTTGCGTTCAGCGAAACATCGATTGGTCTTTTATACCTCCCCGTAGTCCGCACTTCGGAGGGATATGGGAAGCTGGGGTGAAATCCGCCAAATTTCACCTCCGGCCGATTCTGGCCGATCACAAACTTTCATATGAAGAATTGTCAACGACATTGGCGCAAATTGAAGCAACGTTGAACTCGCGCCCATTGATTCCATCATCGGACGACCCAAACGATATGACAGCTATTACTCCGGCACATTTTTTGATCGGCCGGGAGTTTCAGGCTTTGGCAGAACCATCGTACGAAAACGTCAAGGTTGGCAGGTTGTCTAGATGGCAGGTTCTTCAGGACTTGAGGCAAAAGTATTGGCGGACTTGGTCGACAGATTATCTCCAGGAGCTTCAACGGCGTCAACGGGATTTCAAGATCACCAAGTTCAAGATTGGAGCATTAGTGTTGATCGTGGACGATAATCTACCTCCACTTCAGTGGAGTCTTGCGCGTATCACGGAGTTGCATCCGGGCAAGGATGGCCACGTGCGAGTGGTTACAATGAAGACGAAGGATTCGATCATCAAACGAGCGGTGAAGAATGTGTGCTTGTTGCCGCTAGATGAAGAAGATGCGGCTAATCCCGAAACTATTCCGGAAGTTTGAAATGCAGCATTTCAACGGGCGGGAGGATGTACAACGGAACAATTATCGGTTTTGCCCACTATCCAACTTTTACCGTGTTTTCATATCTAATGCCTTCACACCTAACTTCACTGTTGCCTCCCTAAAGTTTCATCCAATGTAAAGAGAAAGGAAATAAATTAGTCTTAGTTAAGAAGCTCACGCGCGCGGATGTGTTTTTCTTTATTTCTGCAAACGCTGAGCCTTTCGGTTTTACAGTCCACTTGACTCTTGAAGCTACACAACTAAATACTTACAATGTAGCGTCCAGGAAGTCCTTTAACTTCACTTTCAGGTATATTTATAGCAAATGCAACACTTTTCAACAAAAAACGAATCACTTTAATTTAACAAAATGACGGCTCAATTATTCAGGCTACGATACTTGATAGCTTGTTAATAACGTTAAGGTAAACTGTATTACATTTGAGTTGTTGTTGAAATGAAGCAAATTTTTTTTTTGTTGAAGACTTTGGCATATAGAGCAAAATTGTTAGTGACAGAATCTTACCAGCAAATGCATTTTAATAAAAAAAAATTCGTTGATCTTTAAACATATTGGTTGTTGTTTTAAATATTAAAAATTTCTCTGCGTGTTGACGTTTGAATATTTGTTCACAAAAACAGCAATCAAGCCAACCACGGGATGGCATCAGTTGAATTGCCTGTATGCTGAATTGGTTGATATTTTGATAAATAGGCCCTTGAAAACGTCAATTATTATTTTTACCTGCTATTTTAATTTTTCCCCCGCTTTTGTCGGATACAGACATAATAAAAATGTTATTTTTCCATCATTTCAGGTTTCAGGCATTTTTGACTAGACATTCTACTTTTCGTCTTGTCTTCTGCAATATCGTTGCAGAAGTTGGTGTACCATACAACCTAAAGCAAATATTGAGTAATGATCACAAGCTTTGGAAATCTGCCCGTACTTGCTGGCATCGACTGCTGATATCGGGAATGCTTATGGAATATGGAAACAAAAAATCGCTGGCTGTGGTGTTTACTAAACTGTATGCTAATCTGATGCAGGACTTTATACGAGATGATCACTATCACTCATTTTCAATTGTATCGCTTAGCGTCCAACTGTTTACTGTGCCAACAATTGCACATCATCTAATTGCTCATGAATTGGCGTTTTTTAAACTAATGCATACGTTCTACTCTGAGTCTATAGAAAAATATGTGAAAAACAAGCTTTTGCAGTTTGCAAAGAATACGTCAACAATGAATGTCTTCAAACGTGCATCCTATATTTTGATTGATCTGAAATATTTACTGAGCTTTAAACCAGATGCATGGACTCAAGAGCTGAGAACAGGATTTCTACATGGGGTACAGATATTGATTCGTCTATTAAAGTGTATGCAGGGCATGGATGCCGTCACTAGACAAATTGGTCAGCATATGGAGTATGAGCCAGAATGGGAGACAGCCTTCACTTTACATCTTAAATTATCGCATCTGATTACTCTGGTGTTGGAATGGTGCAGTACAGATAAAGTTGTTATGGTAAAAGTGTATCGTATGCTCCTAGCGGCGCTAACGGAAATAAAATTTATAGTATCTGAAGCAAAAGTGGAGGTGAGAGAACTGGCTGATCATAGTGCTTCCTGTTTGATGTACGACGTATCTTCAAAACCAGTGTCCATTCATCTGCCTCTAACACGATTCTTAGCTGGACTCTACGTGCACTTCGAAAATTTTGATTTAACGTTTGATACAGTAGCCTCATCTTCTGCAGACAAACCAACGCCGGAGCAGATTATAGAGCCAGTGTTGAGTACCAGAGCCATGATATCCCAAGTATACGCTGGAATGTGGCGACGTAATGGATATTCTCTACTGAATCAACTTTACTTCTATCGTAACGTAAAGTGCCGTTTCGAAATGCTGGATCGTGATATAGTTATTCTTCAAATCGGTGCGTCTTTGATAGAAAGTAACGAGTATTTGATCCATGTATTGAATAAGTTTAATCTGATCGAATGGACGAATGATGATTATGAACCAACGAATGCTGCAAATCCAGAAGAAGATGGTATCAGACAAGTAATAAACATGGTAGATGAGTTGTTGGAGTTACTGATAATCGTAGTAGGAGAACGTTACGTCCCGGGAATCGGAATGATCTCTGAAGATGATCGTATAAAAAAAGAAATCATACAACAGCTGTGTATCAAGCCTTATTCGCATTCAGAGCTAAATCGTGCATTGAATGAGGATTCGAGTAGTGAAACTGGCATGGAGAATGTAATTGACGAAATAGCCATATTCGAAAAGCCAACCAAGTCAGATAAAAAAGGAGTGTACAAACTGAAGGTTCAATATTTCAATTGGTATAATATGTACTTCTACCACTATAGTAAAGAAGACAAATCTAAATCTGAAGAAGCCCAAAGACGACGACGTAAAGAAAAGGGTGAATTAGTATGTTGCCCACCGTCAGAATTGCCGCAACTTACACAATCTTTCAGGTAAGTCTATATACTTCACTGGTCCAGAATAGGAATATAGTAGCTATTGTTGTAATATTTAGGCATTAGGTGTTTTTGCTGAAGTTTTTGTGCTTGAAAATCCCTTCCTTTTTACCGATGAACCTGAATATTTTTCCAGCCATATTTTTTGGCACAAACAAATATCTCTGAAACCTGTACTCGCAAATGCTTGTCTGATGTACGAATTTAGTTTTTAAATTTGAATTTATTTTTAGAATTAATATTAGATTAAAATACAGAATTTCTCAATTCTATTATTTTTATGAGGTTACGTAGAAGTTAGCATTTCTACTTGATTTGTGTTCGCCGAAGTAGAATCTGGTGTTAAAATTTCCAAAAAAAAGTGTGGTTCACGAAAAACTACAGCTCGATATTGAAGGGAGATAGAATTATCGACTTATAGAATATAAAACTTCGTCCATAACTGTAAAGGCCCACGCACATTAGATCCGGATCAGACGCGTTGCGGCAAAGTGACAGCTAAATCTGTTCGGTCTGGGAAGGCACTTTCCCTTTCGGCAGTGGACTGTATCGGCAATGATTGGTGGAGGAGGCAAGCGTCGATCTAAATCAAACTCTTTGAGCTCTGAAAAGAGCTGGGGGTGGGGTTCAACGCTTGCTCCGAACCAGGGATGTGTGCTGGGTAATTATTCAAACGGCGACGGCTACGCTAGTAACTACTTTTATTCTTTACAAATGTTTGCTTTCTTCTGCTGCTGATGCTTGCTCGTGGCCGGTCAAAAGGTAACTGAATTGAGTTTGCCTAATGGGTGCCACTTTTATAGAAGCGCGCTGTCTGCGCATGGTGATATGGACGTCGCTGATTGGTTAGTGTTGTTTGTCGCTGTTCGTCAGCGGCGATTGTCAAGGTTGGCTGGTTGGTTCACTTTCGGCGGAGACGGAACAAAATCTATTGTCTAACTGTCAAATTTACGTCAACGCAACGCAAACGGATCTAATGTGGGTGGTCCTTAAGAATCATTCCGAATTATTCCATCTACTTTAATATCTGACCTTATTTTACTATATGATTTCGAAAAATAATGCATGAAAACATTTACGGAATTTTTGAGCACGCAATAAGACTGTCAATTCTTGTCAACATTGGGTCGACATCGACCTTAAACAAAAACGGTACAAACCCATAATGTGGCACATTAAATCGCTAGGAAATTTAAAAATATTATCAACAGAAGGCATGTTGTGTGTCCGGAGCCACATTGGCTTATTGACTCAAAAACGATCATGCGATTCGTCATCCTGGGCATTGGCATAACATTGAGGATTGCTTAACTGCAACCAGGTCGCAGGGCTTGTTTGTATCTTTACATTTTGACAGATGCACTCTAGTTGTTGGCGCGTTTACCGTGGCCAACTCCGGTGGGTTGGAAGTGGCCTGTATTTCTTTCGGATTGAAAGATTCAACACACTAGTCAACCTTAACACTACTTTTATTCTAACTAGTTCACTATTTCTCTACAGATTGCTTTCTTACTTCACTGGATGTAACTTGGATGGTGGTCGGAATAATACTAAAAAAAACGCTGGCTGGCTGGGTCGCTTTTATAGCAGTCGTCCTATCGTATTTGGCTACTTTTGGTGCTATATACTTGCGTGCCGTGCGCTACGGCGAGCAGCAGGCAGCAGCATGTTGAAGAGAAGTATATAGTGCTTCTCCCTTCTCGTTCGGTGTCCTTAAAATTCTACCTGGAGTCATCAATCGGCAAAACTGCGATCCGGTTGATCGGTCGTCGGTAGGTAGCTCCGTTAGACGACACATCGATGGCACCTGCATGATGCGGCCTAGCTTCCAGTTAAGCGGTGGTTGATTTTTGTCCTCCAATAGAACTACCATTCCTGGGCGAAGGTTGGATGTCGTCTTGGTATTCTTTGACCTCGGTTGAAGGCTGCACAAATAATCTCTGGACCAAGATTTTCAAAAATCCTCACGCATCTTCTGTAGATGTTGCCATCTTTTCAGACGATTAATTTGTATGTCTTTAAGGGATGGTTCCGGAACGGCTGTAAGTGGTCCACCAATCAAGTAATGAGCTGGCGTAATTACGTTTATGTCGGCTGGATAGGAGGAAATTGAAAACAGTGGCCTAGAGTTGAGAACTGCTTCGATTTGGGTGAGTATGGTTGTTAGCTCTTCAAATGACAATTTGGAATAGCCAACCCCTCTGACCAAATGTCTCTTTGTCGATTTTACAGCGGTCTCCCACAAGCCACCGAACTCGGGTGCGTTCGGCGGTATGAAATGCAACTCGATTTCCTTTGGCTGACAGAAGGACTGCATATGTCCTGCGAACTGCTGATCCTGGAACTGTAGATATAGCTGGTGCAACTCGTATTGTGCTCCTCGGAAGTTGTTGGCGTTGTCAGAATGCAACTGTTGCACCATTTATCTTCGGCTGATGAACCGTTGTAGCGCAGCTATGAAGGCGTCGGATGTGAGATCAGACACGACCTCGAGATGCACTGCTTTTGTTACCTGAACAAATACTGCCACGTAAGCCTTGATGAGCCTGGATCGGTAATTTCCCATCTTTATCCAAAATGGGCCGGCGTAGTCGACACCTGTCACTGCAAACGGAGGTGCTGGATCTATCCTAGGTTGAGGAAGATTGCCCATCAGCTGCGTTGACATAATTGGATTTGTGCGGAAACATCTTACACAATTGCGGGTCACTTGCCGGATGGTTGAACGGGCGCTCAGCAACCAATACCTCTGGCGCATAGCAGCAATCAAGCCATTTTGCCCAAGGTGCAAATGCTCGATGTGCATTGTGCGGATTAGCTGCTTCGTCAGTGGATGCCTGTTCGGAAGGATAATCGGATTCTTCGTCTCGGCTCTTAGATTCGAATGTTGCAGGCGACCACCAACTCGAAGCAGTCCATCGACGAACACTGGATTCAAGCCTCCTTGCTTGCGGCACGTTTTGTTGGTTTGGACACGACGTATTTCGTCAGCTAGCTCTGACTGTTGAAATTCCATCGACGGAGTTCGGAAATAGTAACGTACCGGTTGAAGATACTTTGTGACCTGTTCTTGGTGCGGATGTTGGCGATGAATCGAAGATGCCATGATGCGTTCGATCTTCCTGAAGTCACTGAAGCGGGAAAACAGTGGAAACTGTTCCACCACAGTCGAAGTGACAATTTCGGTGCTTGTCATTTCGGGAAGCGGTCGGGGATATTGACAAACTCCTCTTCGTCGTACTCGAGTTTCGTGAGGAAACTTGGTCTGGTCCACCAAAGATTGTTTCTGCGCAAATCGTTTGGTAGCTGACCTCTGGACACGATGTCTGCCGGATTATCACCAGATCGGATGTAGCACCAGCGATATCCTGCAGTGGAGGTATTGATTTCGTGAATTCGGTTTCGGACAAAAATCTTGAGGCGATTGGCTGATCGTTTCATCCACTCCAGGACGATTTGACTGTCCGACCAGAGGACCACGTCACGGAATTCCATTTGCATGGCTGGGATAATCCTCTGAATGAGTTGAGTTAGTAGCAATGCGGCACACAATTCCTTTCGAGGCGTTGAAAGGTCGTGTAGCGGAGCAACTTTGGACTTGCTACTCAGCAACTTCATCTTCGTGGAACTGTTGGAGAACAGGCTTCGAACATAAACACATGCTAATGATGATGCGTCGGAAAATGGTATGGCGATTTTGTCGAGTGCTGGCAAGGTATTTGTGAATTCAACCCACCGCTATTGTATCGTGTCGCGTAAGCTATATAAAGTGGCTCGTCCCAGCCAATCTTGTGCTTCCACACCTGTTGCACTAGTAGCTTGGCGATGTCCAGCGAAAACCCTCCTCTCTTCAGTAAGCCTTCCAGCTGCCTTGCTGCTTCGAGGGCCTCCGGAAGTAAATTTGCACCGGAAAGTGCATCGTCGACGTAAAAATCCTCCTTGGCGATTTGCGCACCGATCGGAAAATCGGTTGATTCATGATCGGCGAGCTGGTGCAAGCACCTGGTAGCTTGGAACGGAGGCGATGCTGTTCCATATGTAACCGTCGTGAGCTCCAAGACTCGGAGTGGCTCTGACGGCTGCTCACACCTGGGGTCGGGGGTGGGAATATTCCCTTCTTTATCATATATTTAACGAATTAAGCATGTTCTCTTTCATATATTAAAAGAAGGGAATATTCCCTTCTTTATCGTTTATCCAAAGAATTAATTATTTCGTTTTCTTATATTTTCAAAGAAGGGAATATTCCCTTCTTTATCATATATTTAACGAATTAATTATGTTCTCTTTCGTATATTAAAAGAAGGGAATATTCCCTTCTTTATCGTATATCCAAAGAATTAATTATTTCCTTTTCTTATATTTTCAAAGAAAGGAAAACGCCTTGATCCATTAAGAAGTTTTTCTATTCTTTTTATATACGCGAAAGAAGATTCCAGGAGTGACTATAATAAACAAAAATAGTCAATCTTATACATGGCATACTTTTCTGGGGAATGGTGCATTCTGGGGAATGAGATTCTGCGGAATGTTATAGAACCCCTCCCATAACTACTCGAATGATGCAACCCATTATCCCAATTTATAATAGTAATAGTAAGAATAAAATACCCAATATTTAAAAACGAAGAAAAATCTAACGATCAGATGGTGGAACGACCCCAATTAAAACAAGTGACAGATTCTAGATATTTGATCTTTATGGTTTGTGTACTTTATTTTTAGTTTTGGTGTTCCGTTTGTCATTGCACTAGCTTTTAATTTCAACCTCATTTTGAATTATTTTTTAAGGAACATATTTTCGAAGAAATCCATTAATTTATCTTCAACTCTCTCCTGGAAATATGCTGCCTCAAACGTTTCCTCCTTAACAACATGGTCATTAACGGCGCCGGTGGTGTAGTGGTAAGCGTGATTACCTTTCACCCCAGCAGGCCTGGGTTCAATCCCAGTCGGCGCCGCCGGGATGTTCTGAGGCATAACATCTCTGATCACGC